CCCCGGAGTTTAGAATCGAATTCGGTCCTCTCTCCCCCAACCCCAATAAGTAATGGACTCGGTTATTTTCAACTTCTTATCGCTCTCCCATTTTTTAGCTCCCGAAACACCAATCAGTCTCACTTCTAAATCGGCTATTCTGTCCAATACAACTCCGTTTGTATCACTGAACTCAACAGTACCGTCTATCACATCCCAAGTTACCGGTAGCCCCGAAAAGTTTGTTGGTACGTCTGCGATTCTCTGTCTGTGTGTATGTATGTCTATGCTTGTATGCGCTAGTGCATCACTTCAATTGTGTCTGATCACTTACAGAAATGATGGAATTGTTGTTGCGCAAATTGGACGAATCAATGGTTTATCAGCGAGAGTTGGACAGGAAACTAACTTTACTATTAGCTCGTGAATCGCCGGTCACATCACTGCTGAGATCTTCTACTGCCGAAGCGGTTGTGGCCGTTTTGAACCAAAATCGAAAGTCTGTTGACAGCACCACCACCACCACCAACAACAATGACTTCCAGTGTGTCAGTTCAAGTAATAGAAAGAATGTTGTAATCACTACCAATAATAATTACAACAACTTGCCTGGCACTGCTATCACCACCAGCATCAATGAAAAGATGACCAACTGTCACAAAAGTGTCCTACCTCGTTTACCGCTCTGTCGAATGCGTGATTTCGAGAATTTGGAACGTCAGTTGATCAATCCATTGTTGTTTCAAGAGATGGTGAGTGCCATCATGGTTGATCTCGTCTATCTTTATTGATTTTCATCAGTTTATTACTGCATCGATAGTGGTTTTGTATTTGAGTGATACGAACTTGGACTATCGAAAGTGACGAAGCAAAGATGCAGGTAAGTTGCAAGCTTTTCTGGATAGCTTGAACGCCAGTGTAGTCATGTTCGGTTTTACATCTTCAAAGTGTAAAATGTTACTACAAGATTGGGTTGGTCCAGCACCCAGGCTCACTAACTGGGGAAGTAATAGAGCAATTGGATAAGTTTTGGTATTTGGACAGCTACATCTCACCCGGTGGGACGCATCACGGATGAAGTGTCTGCTCGCATACAGAAGACTCGGTTGGCATTTACCAACTTGAGACATCTGTGGCGCCGTCGCGACATGCGTCTATCTGTGAAGGGTCGAACTTGTGCCGCCGCAGTTCGGCCAATACTGCGCAGAAACTCGGCCATTAGGGAAACAGAACAAAGATAGACTGTCGGTGATTGAACACCGCTGTCTACGCAGCATTGCGCGAATCTGGTGGGGCAGCGGGAAGAGCAATGCTGAGGTCAGGTGCAGAGTTTTAAGTATCCGCGGCCGCCCACTAGAGCAAGTGGTCGACCTCCATGGATTACGTTGGTTGGGACATGTGTTACACATGTCACTAGATAGGTTACTACGGCGTGCAATGTTCGCCGAGGCAGGTAGTGAGTGGCAAAAAGCCAAGGGTGATGAAGCTAAGACCTGGCACGAGGTTATGAAAACCCTAACCAGGAGTCTGGTTAGGGTTAGGTTCCGTTAGGCTCCCTGGATGGGGACTTCGGGATGATCGTACCCGATGGAGAGACACTGAGTGATGTTGCTGTGTGTCGTAAACAGTGGCGTTCGTGCATCTTCTGAATTTCTTTGCAACAGTAGCCCAATGAAATTCTCCATTTCCTGTTCGACTCTACTTTCAACTTTCCTGTCTTCTATTCTTCATCCAAATAGGCAGCCAAAAGACAGCGACCAAAACTGGCGCACGATAGTGCATGGTTAATGGTTGTACAAACTGAACTGAACGGAAAGTGATTAAACATTCACTGTCTATCTGTCATACCGTGTAGCTTTTCAATCTGGCTGGTTAGGACCGGTCATTGTAGTGTATAGGCCCACTGAGCTTGTGTCAGCTTCAGTCAACTTCGGACGCATACAGGGATTGTGAATAACCAAAGCGTGGGGCTGATGTTACCTCAGCACAAGGCATAACGCCCATTCGTCTCTGTTATCAGACGATAACTACTGCCACTCAAACGTGATCTGAATGTATGTACACAGCTGGTGAGATCACCATTAAATATTCAACACATTCTGTGATTATGATTCTTCTTCTTGCTCTCATGGATATGTTAAAGGGAATTAATTGCATGAAATATTTTCAAACAGTTCCATTTAAAGTCCAGTAGCGCAGCTATGCTTTCTCACAGGATTTTCTCATAACCAGTCTGTAACTTTCTTTTTTAATTCTTCCTTTTTTATCTGTATTGTTTTTCAGGTTAATAATCTGACGAAAACCGATGGAAACACTGTGAAGGATGTGGTTTGTAATGTGCTCAAACGTCTGTTCACTGCTCCACTCGCGTTGTGTATCAATTGGACCGGAAAGCTTGGGAAAAAATCGTTTCGGGACACTATAGTGTGTTCAGTTGTGACCAGTGAGTTGCTTTGTTAATCTGAAGTACTACGTTGCATGTCTTTTCGGTCGATGCACATGTAGTGACCAGTTTCACATTCGCATCGGAGTCGGATTCACCAAATTTTTTCTCATGGTCCTCTGTTCACTGGCCTGTAGAATTCAATCAATTATTGACCTGTGTTCGGACAAATATCATTTGTCTATTCTGCCAAAAAGTCTGAGTCATCGAATCATGCACCCTAACTTGCCCAATATCACCGTTGTTAGATGTATCGGCAAAGTGTAGTCTGTATTTTGCTGAGCAAATAACTGTTTATTACAATAATATATCATACTTCATACTTGTCTGGGTTCAAGTTGCTTCGTGCAAGTCATTATACCATTATCCGACTGGGGAGGAAACCTGTCAGTCCATTATTTTTTCCTGATCATACTGTGTACTTGCCCAAAGTGATTCAGACGCGTGTAAATTATAAGTATAGAATCCACGGTCGAAGTCCTGTACTCCAGATCCTGATCCACGGAGGAGTGGATTGGTGTCAGTCAAGGCTCACTGGGACCGGTGTACATTGAGTGAGGAATTACGTCATTGGGGCGCGTTTCACGCATCCAGGGTGTCGCAGAACCTGGGATTATTTTTAGAGATGACGTAATAATCCAAATACAGAAACGTGACCTTTGCTGATGGTCATACACAGAAATACGTTTGTATCACAATGTCACATTGCACACTGCATGCTTTCGGAATACAGCCGGAAGTAATGGAGCATCGACCTGTTTGGGTGGTGGTGTCGAGGTGGTAAAACTACGCCAATCTGTCCTGGTTGTATTTTGTGCCTCTCGATTATCCAATTCTAGCTAGAAAGTTCAAAGCCGGAATTATTGATGTAATCGGAATGCAGTGTTTTCAGTACCTCCAACGGATAGCCCGTAGATGTTATAATCCCCATAGTCACGACAACCTACTGTTCACTAATGGAGTAATCCATCTAGCCCTTGGTATCTTGGAGTGGTGAATCAGATACTGCCTCTAGTGAATTGGTGTGTGATTGGCTAAGGCTACAGGTGGAACGAGTTCGAAGACACGTGCATGAGAGCACTGCACAAGATGAGAACTGAGTAATTGGATCTTCAAATCTAATATTTTTTTAATACACACCTTAGTGTGATGAACAGCAGACGGGAGAAACCCGATAGTCACGAGGACCTGCTGTTCAGTGATGGAAACCGGTAACCTCAGCCCCGGAATTTGGAGTGGTGAACCGCACAAGGCCCCACTTAATTAGGTGTGGTATTGGATCGGACGACAGCGAAGCTGCCCACCACCAAAGTAGGGTGGCGGTGGCCGGGCCCGAACCATGGACCATGGGGTTCAAAGCACGCCGGCGACAGTGACTAAACCACTGCTCCACCAAAGCCCATGTATACATATACCATACAAATCAAATCAAACGTCATACTCGGTTTGACGTCAAGAAGCTGCATAGTTGTATCGTACGAATTAGAAAATTCTGGTGGACTGAACAGACCGAGTAAATCTGAGATTGCTGTTGATCGCGTTACTGGACCGCTTCGTCTAATTGTGATTCCCAGATGAATGGTTTATTTGCGTCTATCCTTACATTTGAGTACAATGACAGAGTTGTTTGAACCTTTCGGCCATATCGTACGCACAGGTAGATATACAGTTAATAACAGAGATG